TTTGGTTCTGAAAGTTTTTGAATGGTACGTGATTGATTAAAGTGATGGATCGTAATGTGTGTCGTTCAACTTTGAAAATTTTTATTATTGCGTAAACATTATGTAAACAATTGCATAGAACTGACACTGATTCAGAGCAGTTTCGAATTCAGCTCGATTCGAGTTTCGTCGAACCAGTATATAAGCTGTACGATTTGAGTGGTTGATACCAGCTCGTGATAACGAAAGCTTTCGGTTGAAGAGCAGAGACCTTTTTAAGTGAATTGCACTTCCTCTTGCAGCGTTAAGTGTTTTATCTGGTCTTAAGCAATCTTCTCCTGAAGAAGTGAAGATGTTCCGTGTTCCCAAACGAAAATACCTTCAACTGAAGAGTGCATCTTTTTGATTGCTCGTCGCTACTGGATGAAGTATATTGTGATCTTCAGATACACCATCGTATGAGATGATCATACCAGACGGATGTCAGATATCAAGCGATGGACCTTATTATCGCTGTTGAGCACTGAATTCATCGACAGTTTACAAGTGAGTTGCGCAGTTTCGGTTTTTCTTTCTTCGATCAGTTGCAAGCAGGCGATTTCGTCTTACACAAATCGCTTATATTCACTGCATGTTAATGGTGGAATTTTATGTACCTGATTGATTTGTTTAATAACTGATTATGAAACCGGAAACTAAAACTTATCGAATTTTGTTGAAGTCAGCAATAGTATTCGGAAGTTCCGGTAGTGAGGCGATTTTAATAACAAAAGAAGATGAAGTGTTTGCAATTGGCACAAACAGCTGTTCGTGTTTGGGTAAGTCATTCATTTTGTCAACGTTTTCGAATTGAAGTTTTAACTTTACAATATTACTCGATGATCAGTGTATCTATTTCTAATCATGACACTCTGATGAAGACCACTGATCTATCAGTTCTTCTCAACGTGGGCAATAATGTACAGCAGTGGGCGAAAACGGCACATTGATGGGGTAATTTTGCCTAAACAGTGTAAAATTCTTGAGGTCATCCATCCTATCGCAACATCGCCTCCTCTGTCTTCCAAGCTTTTAAGCGTTGCTGCACTTGAGAGAAGGAAGAAGAAACTGTATAGGCACGTTCTTAGTTTAGATTGGGGATTAGCTGAAAAGGTTGAGAAACACTGGATCATGGAATCATGGCCGTGATCAGATTCGAGGAACATTAAATATTAAAACTTTTAGCATGCGCAATTTTACGATAGAAGGCTATATTCTAATTGCTTCCTGGCATCATTTATGTGAAGTTTACCGCAGATCGCAGTGAGAACAACGAACGCTGGATTGTATATTATACCAATTTCAGGCACAAATCGTTCACAAGCAACTCTAGAGCCTTCAAGAATTGACACGTTATCTGGGCGAGGTGTAGTCTCGCTCGCGTTCGGTTCTGGACCTCACGTTCTGGCGTTATGTCAGAACGGTGAGGTTTTCTCCTGGGGTCATAACGCATTCGGGCAATTAGGTCTGTTGTTCATTATCAGTCTTTGTGACGTGATTCAATCTATAACCAATGGTCAACAACAGTGTTTTGAACGTTAACGTTTGAAACAATGAATCAACTTTTCGACCACAAATTTTGGTAGTTCTACGTTCTGTTCAAATGAAACTTTCAATTCCTGTAGTCAAAAAGAATTGAAGCATAATTATCCATCTGATAAACAGTGATTCAGTCAGAATTGCCCAACTTCTGAATTTCAGGAATTGGTTCCACAACCGTAGGTATAGTACCAAATCTGGTTGGCGATGCGCTGTCTGGTCATAATGTGATACAAATCGCTTGTGGTAGTCATCATTCAGTAGCAGTGACCGATCGGGGCGAAGTTTTCTCTTGGGGGAGAAACTCTTGTGGACAAGTTGGTGAGTAATTACCGTATCGAGTACCGTTCTCTCCAGGAATTCATTCTGACTTCGTTACCATTCAACTGAATTTCTTGATGATAAACAATGGCAAATAAATNAAGTAAAGTACAGATAAGCTCTAATGGTTTTTGCAGAGTAGACAGTTGAGAGTTACTGATTCTTTCATTATCACTTAGAATTTTTTGCGATGCCTTAGAGTTCGTTTTGGTTCGATTGAACCACTCAAATTTGTATGCATCAACATCCAACATCAATGACTGTTGAATATTGATTAAGGTATCGGCAGTAATGTGAATCAAGATTTACCACGCCAAGTTACCGGCCAACTGTGTAGGTTTCATTTTCCTTTTTATCTATGCTTCATTTCAAATGGTCATTTGCGCCGTTCATCTTGACCAATTTACGGTCAAAGACGATCTGACTATTGCAAAGACTCATTAAATGGAGTTTCTAAGATAGTGAGAACATTTTCCAAAGGACTCAAAGTAACAAGATGTTTCCATCTTGTCTGATTGAAGGAGTGCATCTTCTTTTGGCCCAATCGAAGTTAATGCCGCAAATTTTAGCAAATCGCTTTGTACGCAGCGTGGTATGTGGCCAAAACAATACGTTAGCGCTGACCGATGATGGTGAAGTGTTCGGCTGGGGTTTTAATGGGAATGGTCAACTTGGTGCCGGAAATCTATCGAATCAGCACAGTCCTGCACGTGTCATCGGATTGCAGAATGTTGTCATCGAACAGGTCTTTTTTCGAGTTCGATTATCTGAGCATCACTTTTACTCGCATACAAACAATTATCTGACAACTTGGTTTGCATTGCGAAAAATGTCCTAATGAATCTAACCAGCACAAATAGACGTATGCATATGAAAACACTCCAGCACATAGGCGATAAATATGCGCATTTGACATTTCAGATAGCCTGCGGATTTGCTCATTCATTAGCCCTGAGCGACGAAGGCCAGCTGTTCGCTTGGGGTTCGAATACCTGCGGACAACTGTGTGCCAGTATGGCTCGAACCAATCAAACATCACCCGTTGTGGTTGCATCCACATTAGGCAGGTCGTATTTTCCTCCATTTGATCTCTAACGACCACATCATTTTGATCAGTAGAAATTCTTAAGGGATCTCTCGAATTTACAAAATTTCACAAAAAATGCAGCAGTCAATAAGAGAATCTTGAAATTTTTATTGGTTGAAGGCGAAATCGATTCGTTGATTGCGCCTTAAACGCCGATTAGTTTATTGGAGTAGGCAAGTGAGAGAGCGAGCAGATGTATTCGTTTAATTGAAACTCTTAAATGTCATTATCTTACCAAATAAAGCTCATTGGATAGAGCCAGCCGAACGCAATGGCATTCAGAAATACTTTCACATCGCAAAGTAGTTTTACAGCACTCAAGGGAGCTATGATTCTTTCGTGGTGCTTAAACGAAGTTCATCCAATGTTAAAACTCAATTTTATGCAAAGTTTCATTATAAAACGAGGGCAATAACATCTGAGAAGAGTTGTGCTCATTGATCTTCAATAGTTTAACCAACGCAAAATTCAGGGTTGCTGAAATAGCCGCAATTCATGCATGCAATATCACTGCTGCTGTTAATCAATCAGGAAAGGTGTGTTCTTGACCTTTGTCCTATAACTACTCAACGCAATGAGTATTTGGAATTAATAGTTCTCGAATGTCTCTACAGGACGCAATTTTTCGAATTTGCTAATATGCATTAACACGACAACATTTCGTTGAAAATCGTCGTGTTCTGCATTCCGTTTTTCCTCCGATTCGTTCATTTGACATGCGTTCGCAAAACACAACATATGAATTTCCCAGATTAAGGTTGTTTTCTAATTGTAGAAACATTCTAAATAGTATTTCTGTTATATTGCTGTCAAAGTAAGTTTTATTGGCTTGAAGAATTCATTGTAATTGGAAGAATAAGCGAGAATCAAAAACTGCAAATCAGTATCGTCGCCAGATTAATTGTGTGATAGGATTAGGATTTGAAATGGGATGAGAGGAGTGATAGAAAAATGTTTGAGTTAAATCTTTGCTCTTCATCCATATAGCGTTAAGTTAGCTCATTCGTCGTCACATTCAATTTGCATAATCGCATGACACAAACGACAAATCACATTCCGAACAAAGGGAACATAAGTATTACTGAGGCAACATAAGAGGTCAATCTTGAAAGTGCCACATTGTGATCACGCATTTATGCTATGTTTCATGCACTTAGTTCATGGTGTTGAGTTTGAAAGGGTTTGGTCCACAACAAGTAATTTTCGATCGTGGGCACGGAAGTACCACTGATGAGAGGGCACTTCAAAAGTAACTCAATTGGTCGGATCGATCAGAAATATTGACTGAGCCTATTTTTTGATCAGTTGAGATGACTCTTGATTTGAGTCGGTGTAACTGATTGCGAGAAATTATGACCTCGCATCCAGATCTTATGCATACAGCCAGGGAAACGTGCATGACATTCCAACTGTATGCAGTAAGTGAATGGTGAAATAATCTGGCCAATGATGTGAATAAAAAATTTTTAGGTGTATATGTGGGGTCAGGTGCGTGGTCAAACGGCAACATGCCCGATACAAACTCAATTTGGATGTATTGACGATGTATTCGCATGCTTTGCCAGCCCAGCGGTTGCTTGTCGACCGATTCAGTTCGGTTTGTATTCTGTGCTGGGTGTTGTTTCGTTTGCGTTCGTCCGCAATTAATTTCTTCATTTAGCATCTCATTTTATTACATTCAGTGTGTCATTTTCCATTATCAAACGCACACACACAAACCATTCAGTTTTATTGACGGTTCTTCAAATACGATAATTGTGTCATATTCTTTTTTCAATTTATTATTTCCGTTGAAATTTTTCTCCTACATTTTTCACGATTCAAACATCATCGTGAAGTATTCATTTTTAAGGAGCATAATTCCAATACTTCACAAAAATCCTTCTTAACATTCAAGCAAAGTTCTTCGATGAAAGTGTCTTAGAATAAAATCGCTCGTAACAAAATCTGTGGTAGATGGTTGATTTGGTCTGTTGAAGATATCTGTCGACGTTCCACAATACTGGATGCGATTCGAGTTGCGTTCGATGATCCGACGACCGGAGACGTGAAGATTTCGGTTGATGGTCATTTGATACATGCACATAAGGCACTGCTTCGGCTACGATGCGATTACTTTCGTTCAAGGTTCCGTGAATATTGGCAAGATGATAGCGAATGGTTTGTGATACTTTTCAAAACTTATTCAACTAATTACTTCGAAGCACGCATTGGTTTCCACGAAGTACAACAATCGACTTCGTCCGGAAGCTTATCGAATCAGTGATAGTTATTAGAAAGAAGCAATCTTGGTTATCGCCTTACAATGATAATAAATTTCAGTGCTGTCGTAGAAGTACCACATTATTCGTATGCAGTCTACCGGTCGTTTATTCGTTGGTTATACACTGATGAGTTACATATCGATATCGAAGATGCTGTCGGTCTTCTGGATCTTGCAAATTGCTACTGTGAAAATGAACTTAAACAACGATGCACTGAATTCATTAAAAAGGTCAGCATGAATAAATTTTTGAATTCTTCCGTTGATAGGAAACGGATGTGCATGTTCATCACAGTAATCCATATGTTCAAGAGGAATTCCATCAGGAACTCAAGAATCGCAGTGCTTCAAATTAAAGAAAACATTTGGATTTGTAGGAGTAAATATGAAATTTTCACGTTAGCTTCACTTTTGAAGTGCTTCTTCATTTCAGGGAATCAGCATTGAGAATGCAGCCACATTTTATGCAAGTGCGCTCCGATTCGAAGTCAAAGATCTCGAAGAGTTCTGCTTTCAATTGTAATAATTTTGCTTTCTCTTTTGACCCTTCCCTGATTTTCTTCAGTTAATTGTCAAAGGTTTACGAATACTCAAACACTTAAGTTCAGATGGTATAATTGGACATATAATATTTTGGTTCGAATGTGGTTTTGGTGGATAGCATTTGAACGACTATTTTGACGTTTTCTGAGCGATCGAATTGTTGATTCGAGATCGATCGCATTGATTATTTCTAATTGTGCCATATCGTTTGTTTCAGTTGTTTGAACCATATGACCGCTGTTACACAAACGGATGCATTTGCACGTATGGACGAAAGTGCTGTGAAACAATTCATTATGCAAGCTGCGAGGCATGGAGCTTTCAAGAACTGATAAAGAATCAACTGAATTCTTTTCAACGTTCTGTTAGGAATCTGTACCATCGAAATCGAAATTGTATTAACGATGTTCATTCAACATTCTCATTTCACTTCGTTTACATTCACTTAATTGTAATTGTTGAGCCATCCAAAACGCCGTCCATCATCACACATCGAATAATTTGTTTTCTGTGTAAAACAAATGAAGTTGTTATTCATATTGTCAATGTGCACGTTCTTATTGAATACATATTGAGTTGCGACTAATAATTCCTTTCTACGATAATTCATCATTAAAGCATCAATTCGCGATAAATACGAACACAAAATCGCATTCCATCGAATTACTCCTTTTTGTGAAGGCTGATCAAAGTCGCTCTAGATGAAACACTCTCATGCAAGAAGTAGTGGGAGATATCGGGGTTTATGGGAACTCAGTTCTTGAAAACATGCTTCCCAAGGAATTCCAACAAAAAAGATCGGAAGTTATCATTGGAGAGTCAACCGCTGACTTGAAATACCGTTGTTCAACCGTTACTGGGTTACATCATCGTAAACGTTGTTTTCTGTACTCGCAGTATGATACGATGTGTTTTTGTTATTGTTTGATCAGTGCAATCAACGCTTTGCAATTCAGAACACTGCCCTTTCATTTGTGACTTCGTTGACATAACTGGTCATAATTATGATTTCAATGACAATATTCATATTCATTGCTAAATACACTGGAACAACTTTCTTCACGATTTTATCAATCCACTCATAATGGACTGGGAATTTTTCTCGAGAAATCAGCATATTACATGCACGAAAATTATCAAACAACATTTGACTGGTGTCTGAAAAGGCTTTCCATGAGCTTCGCTGAAACGAATGAATCTCACATCGAAAAAGAATCATCCGTTATTGTATCGTTTTCTACAGTGTTGGGCGCGCTATCGAAGAACGATAGCGCGCTATCGCTATTCCGCTATCGAAAAGACTTCCGCTAGTCCGCTACCGCTATCGCTATTACCCACCGAATCGATAGCGGAGCGCTATCATCATCTAAACATCATCAAAACAGCGCCCAAAATGCTCACAATTTCTCGCTTCCTTTGATAAACA